TTATTCAGAATGTTTTTCCTGGGAATTCAAGAAATAATAAATCCTTCTGAAATCACTAACTCAAATGCTGACCATGGCCTTTTAGCCATCCAGCTTGCTTGTCTGAGAACTACAACTGCTATAATCAAACAAATCCTCTATTGTATCCTATCCAACTATGAATGCTTAGTGCAAGACTTCATTCACTTTCTAGTACAAACCTCAAAAATACTTACTCCTCTATTCTTTCATAGCCTCCATCTGACAGAATTTTTCCCTGGATGAAACTAGCTGCCTTTTTAACAGCTGCACATGCCTAGCTTTATGGAGCTCAAATTATCATCTCTATTCAGATGACTACTTTCAAAAGAGCAGAGCTTGTGACAAACTTAGGTCATGTGGGAGACAGGACTAGGAGGCAGAATGAAGAGAAGGGGAGCAACAAAGAGAAAGACACAAGGCTAAAGAAAACTATATTATTAAACTGATTAGTGTTGTTGCAAATGGTGCCTTGTTCCCACTGGAGATCCACAGAGGACAATGTAGATTGGACCCTAAATTATCCATCTGAATGCTAGAGAGACTTTATCCGTTAACTACCATCTCCCTCAGTTTTGGGGTACCCCCAAGGGTGTTAGCTTCCTCATACTTCACATCAGTATGTACACTACATTCCCTGCTAGGAGAGACCCCTAAGACAGAAAAGAAGACAAACACTGCAGTGTGTGCAGGGACACATGCTCGAGGTGGGATGTGGACGATGTGCATAGAATCTTTCACCACAGCTGCATGGACATGTGACTCAGAGTGACCAAGAGCCTACTACAGGCCCCAAATTTAGCTCTCCAGGCTATACATCCATTCTTGCCTCCACACAAAATCTTCAACATCTCTAAGGTATATCTCTTCTTAGATGTCCCATAGACACCTCCAATGAAAAATGACAGAAATTGAGAGGAGTCAGAAGCACACTCACACTTTTAAAGTCAGGGATAGCGTTTGTTAGTGGCAACAGCATAGGGCTCTCTGAACTGTGAGTGGTTTTACCAACGGATGGGGCTCTAAAGATCCCTGTCAGGCTCTGGAACCCAAGCATCAGAAATTCTTCCTGTAATGGGACACATCATCAGTTAGACTGACTGTCTCATCCCTAATGAAGTGGTGGCACTCAGAGTTGTGTGCTGCCATCTCCATAATCTAGGGGTCAATGCATCTCTTGTGGTTGTCACAGGCCGTGTTGCTTACTATCTCTACGATAAAGGTTGTCTGTCAGGCCATTGGTATACATGCAAAATGCATTATCCTATAGAATTTCATTGTCTTCCCTCTCAAATTTCATAAAAGAAGTTTTGTCTCTGATTACATACTTATTTCAATATTTCTAATCAACATTCCTTTGTTCTCTTTTGAACTGGCTATAACATCTGCCCTTTCCTTCATGAATAAAAAACATAGATTTATACACATACAAGTAGCATGATTGTGCCCTTTTTGAAAATACCTTTTAACCACTTTGGAATACATAACAGGGTGCCCTATAGATTCATCTGTTAGAGCAAGGTACACATTGTAGACAGAAGTGCACCTTATGTGTAATAAAAGCTCAGGAGTGTCTTTTCTTGGCTCTAATATGTGAATCCAGAGTGTCAATGGAGCTTTGTTGATACTCTCACTTTCTAATCGGTCTCTCTACTAATTTTGTGTTTCCATTTTGTTTTGGTTCATTTATGGCCATTAAGTTATGGCCCAAACAATGTATGTACATATGAATAAATGAAAAAACAGTTATTTCTCATTGTTGGTAGAAATGATTGGGAATTTGATTTTAGGGTCTGAACATCTGGAGATTTCTCTATATATATTCATGGTTTACAGAAATCTAGTCTCCATTTAGTGAAAGGCAACAGAAAATCTGGTGTTTTTATTAGTTAGTTAGTTAGTTAGTTTAAGCGCAAATCTATTAAGAATTTCATGCCATTTGGGAGGAAAACAGCTATTGAAATTTGGGCTGAGGAAGTTTTATGATTTTGTGTTGACATGTGACTCAAGCCTGAAATTGTAGGACTGAAGCTGAAAGCGCTACTTTTCTGTGACTGTAGGACTCTGTGTCTAATCCAAAAAAAAAAGACACCTAAAAAACTAGCTAGCATGTGTTGCCCTTAACGCAGAGAAACTAAAGCAGAGACCTTAAAAGCAACTGAGGCCAATAGGAAAAGGGGAACAGGGTATTAGAGAAAAGGTTAGATCAAAAAGAATTAACCTAGAAGGTAACACCCACGCACAGGAAATCAATGTGAGTCAACTCCCTGTATAGCTATCCTTATCTCAACCAGCAAAAACCCTTGTTCCTTCCTATTATTGCTTATATTCTCTCTACAACAAAATTAGAAATAAGGGCAAAATAGTTTCTTCTGGGTATTGAGGGGGGGAGAGGGAGGGGGCAGAGTGGGTGGTAAGGGAGGGGGTGGGGGCAGGGGGGAGAAATGAACCAAGCCTTGTATGCACATATGAATAATAAAAGAAAAATGAAAAAAAAAAAAGAATTAAAAAAAAAAGATTATAAAGTCTTAATTAAAGGATGTTTCTTCTAAATTAGCATATCTAGACAAATAATTACTTATATAAATTAAATATAACAAAATTTCCTAAAATATGAAAATTAAACTATCAATATTCTAAATGTGCTAGTTTAAAAGTACATGTGCTTCTAGAAATGAATACAAAACCATTTTAGAAATTCACATTTACATAATTTATGTAAATTTTTAGCAAATAAGACTAGCTTAAGAGTTTAATGTAAACAAGTATGTTTTCCCTGATTTATCAGTGTTATATATAATATAAACATACATTTTTATGCTTCTTGGGGATGTTTTTCCTAAACTTATACAGGATTCTGATCAAATGAGCTAGAGTAACTCATACTGAATATTTAAGACTATGAAATACCTACATTTATGTTGAAGCAAATTACATCATTGCTCTGATGAACAGTAATGAGTTCTATAGTATGCTACCTTGAAAAACATTTGCAAAATTTTTGGTAAACTAGAAATTAGATATGCAATGATTTTTTGATCACTTCTAAGTAAGATAAACCATTGAAAAACTGATTAGTATAATGTTAGTTTACATACTTTTGTTTATTATTTGCACATGTTTCAAAAAGGCTCTTTGTATTTGTAAATGAGTATGGTCATTTCTACTATGTTATGAAACTGGGTAAGGGAAGTATGTGGTTACATAGGACTGGACTAGTTATACCTATGAGATCTGCCAGTCTGCTAAAATGACAAAAATTCATAATTATTTACCTTTCCCATAATCATTATGCTTATAGGCATTTTGACAAAAACTTTGTAATTGTTTGCACAATGTAGAAAACAATGATTCTACCTTTAGTTGCATTCTTCTTATTATGCCATCCCACAAGACTTTTGTGAAAATTACATATCATTTTACTTGTAATAGGTGAACCATAGGCATAAGTTTCTGTCATCTCCAGCTAGTTTTTAACACACACTGATGCTTCCCTGAAGACCTACAATCAGCTAGCTACAGGACAGAAATGTTGTCGTTAACCAAAAAGGACTGTCGCAGAGCCCTGTGAAAAAAGACAGTACCTCAGATGCTTCAGAGAATAGGCTCTAGGGCACAGGTTTCCTCATGTCCTTACAAAGCCACCTTTAAGACCACATAAGTGGTCAGGGTAAGAATTTCCAGAACAGCTTAACTGAAAACCTTGGTTTGTGAAGTCCAAAGTCCTGATCTATAAACTCAATCCTTTTCTCTTAACCTGCCCAGCCCACCCTAATAAAACACAAGTGAAAGTTCTGTATTTTTTTTTCTTTTGAGTATTGGGGATTGAACCCAGGGCTTCATTCATCCTAGGCAAGTGCTTTACCACTTGAGCCACACCCCTTGAAACTGAACTCACTTTGAGCTGAGTGCATTCCTAGAAATCTGAGAGACCCTAACACCTCGGTATCAAAGAGCTTCATTTGCCCAGGGGAGAACAAAAGGGGCTTTTTCAAAGCCCCTTTTTAGGATAAAGTGCCTTGACAACAGGCAGGAGGCCCTTGTTCCTGCTCTACTGCACACTCACCACGGGACCCTAAATAAGCCGACTACCATCTCTAGGCTTCGATGGCCTCAGTTGTCATCTGGAACTCCTAAAAATATTCCTGTCTTCTGAACTTCATTTACCCATTTTCAGTAGAGATCTTTTCCTAGGAAAAGATCACAGCCTCATAATTGTATATCTTTACTAAACTTCTGAAATAAATTTTCACCCTCCTCATTTTATAGCCATGATGTGGATGGCCCCTCAAGAAAATCACACTACCAGAGACCAGAATCTAGTAGCCTCCCTTTCCTGTTACTATCTTGCCCCTCTGTGTCATAAAGACGTCCCTTCATAATTGAATTAATGATTTCCTTTTATCCTACCTTTCAGAACTCAAATATCTCACAATTACAGTATTTAACCTGCCCCCTGTTGCTAATTTGTTTCCTTAATAACTTGCTTTAAAATAACTTTAGTGACATTTTCCTCAGTGTTATTCCAAAGTCTTAAATACAAAAAAGACAAATCTGTCTTCATAAGACCTTGAAGGAGAAATAATATCAAATGCAGGTCCTATTCATTGCTTTTCTTCATATTTAAAATACTACTCATAAACTAATACACTAAAACACATTAATTTATTTCAATCTGTTCAAACTATCCTTTGTGTGCATATTGGACAATGAACTATTTGTTACTGGTCAGCTCTAACAAGTATGGAAATTGACAGTTGGAACCTTCATAGCAATTTGGCTTTGTCATAACATTTGACTGGACTCATCTTAAACAGTGTATATATGAGTCCAGGTATTAAACTCAAGGGCCAAGTCAAATATGAGCTGAGTACATGCTAGTTAACAATGAATTGGAACATCAGACATGATGTTTAAGCAACATGTCCAGTTCTGAGTGTAGTGATTAATTCTCTGGTATTGCCCATCCTAGAGGCACTCACTTTTCACTGAAGAACACTGGACACAGAGATGCTCCCTCTGCTTGGTACTCTCCTGTCTCTCCACAAGGGACAGCCAAGGGTTGTTGTCACAGCCAGTAGCTCCAGTGCCCAGTAGTGACCTGGGCACCAGGCCCAGCTGCACCATGGGAAGGCACACCTGAGCATGTGTGGCTAGAACAAGAAACAGATGCAGCTGTTTATTAAGGGCTACCCTGGGCCTGTGCTGTGTGAAGCAGCAGTTTACAGGAACGGGTAGACTTATATTTGGGAAAACTAAAGATGGAGAGACTCTTCTCCCTCATCTTGAGCATGAGGAAACCTCTGATGAGAAGAAACATGAATGTCGAAGGCCACCTGGCTAGAGAAGTGGTGCACTGGGATCTGAAACCCAGATCCTCTGATTCTACTGTGGAAGCCAACTGGGCAGCCTCTGAGCCACCCTCTGTGAAAGGGCAGCAGGCAGCAGACTGTGGCACTCAGGGGCCGAATGAACAGTGAAAACCTCAAATGTGAACACTCACAGGTGAGGGGGCAGATGCTGCAACACTTGATATGAATCTTATTTCTAACTTAAAGCAGCACCTGTGAGTGCTCATAAGGATCACATGTACCTTGTCAAACTGACCATAATTGGGTTTTTGTACATTTCCTTATGGTATCACTATCACTCCTTAATCTTCATATGAACACCCCTGTCCCACTGAGTTTATGTCCACAGTGTGCCACCTTCTCTCCCACACCCACTGACCACCTCTGACCTTCCAATGAAACCCCTGTCCCACTAAGTTCATGCCCACAGTGTGCCACCTTCTTCCTCACACTCACTGATCACCTCTGACCTGCCAATGAAGCCTTCCCTGCTGCAATGATAATGCCCAATTACCAGCATCATGCTGGGAATCCAACATGCATTGAGAGGCCCTCAGCCACTTTCCTGACCTCCCAAGACCTTTCTTGGTCAGAGCCCACAAGGACAGCTTTTCTGCCATCTACCCCAGCCACCAACTCCTACCAGAGCCACTGCCCACATGGAAACTGCTCCCCTGGAATCATTGATTCAAATACTCATTGCTGACCATCCTTCCATCCTTCCAGCCCTCTGTGGGGTAGGCTCCTCCTGGTTGTCTCATGGACACCTCCAAGTCAAAATGCCAAACTGAAAGGATTCAGAACCACTGGCATTGGTTTAACCACTTTAATGGGCACAGCTGATGGTCTTCCCCATCTATGGGCATTTGGACAGCTGGGACCAGCTACTGAGAGGTCCAACCAGCCTCTGAGACCCAGGCATCATTACTTCTTCTTGGAATGGGTTATCTCATTATCTAGATATTTGGTGTCATCTTCCAAGAAGTGACAGAGCTGCCAGTTGATTTACACCATACTCTCCATATTTCCAGGGTGATGCATATTCTGCCATTGCTGTGGGTCTCCTTGCTCCAGGATGTTAGCCATCAGGTACTCAAGAATGCCAGCAAGGAACACAGGTGTAAATGAGCTCAGCCGCTGGGAATAGGGACCCTCACATAGGAGGCAGTCCATGTGGCTAACAGGGAACTGCAGCTAGGCTTTTGTGGAGCAGGAGAGAATCTCCTCCCCAAGGCTTCTTTTCCTCCTGACATAGTGTTGCCCAATTAGCTCTGATTTTCCCACTAGCCTGGGCCTCTTAAGATCCAGTGTTTATTTCAACCTATTATATCTCTACACTACATACAGCTACTCACTGGTTAGCTGCTTTTGTGAAAACCTAGATTTTTGTGACACTGATCAGGCCTGGCCTAGAAATGTCTGTGACTCAAACCTGGTCACCCTAGTGACTATACCCTCTTTTTGAGAGAACTCTTCCTGCTTAATATTCTAGCAAAATAAGAAGTGTGTTTCAAATGAAACATTGTCTTGTCTTCCAAACACTATTCCAGGTCCTCCAGTCCCAGCCTTACATTGCCTGTGAGCTTTCTGACATCCTTTGTAGGTTGTACATTATTTATAATTATGTTCAATGCCTTGTACAATGGGAGTTCAATTTTCCATCCTCTCACATTGTAAAAAAAAGTTTTACATATTCATTTCAATACCCCTGTGTCTCTTTTTTGGATTCTCTTTTGAGTTGATTTTAACATCTGCTTCTTCTTTCATGAGCTAAATGTGTTCTTTTCTTAAAATGTCTGACTATGTTATTGTTGTTGTTTTCTGGTGATACTAGGATTTGAACTCAGGGCACACATACCTAGCAAGCACGAGGCCCTGAGTTCAAACCTAGTATTGCCAAACGAACAAACAAACAAACCAACAAATCAACTGGTAGAGTGCTGGCCTAGCATTTGAGAGGCCCTAGGTTCAATTCTCAGTACCAAAAAAAGGTTAAGAAGAAAAATGTCGGACTGGGGTGTAGCTCGGTGGTACAGTGCTTGCCTAGCATGGGTGAGGCCCTGGGCTTCGATCCCAGTACCAAAAAAGAAAAGACAAAAAAAGAGAAAAATGTCTGAATCTGAAAACAAAAAAATACCATACAAACTTGCTCCTTCTCTGGGGTGCTGCACCAATACAAATGGGGATCTATAGCTATAACTGTTCATATCTGAGTCTTGGGTACCATTCTTCTGCTTCACTTTTATATCCAATTAATCACCACAGTGTTTTCTCTTCCATTTCCTTAATATTTCAACAATAATGCACTCTGATTATTCCAGTCCAAGCCATTATCAGTGTTACCTCAGCAACCATAGCAGCCTCATTTACTGGCCTGTTTCTCCCCTCACTCTTTTCCAATCCTTTTCCCAAGTAATTACTTTCTTTAAAAAAATCTGCTCATGACATTGTGTTGCTTGGAACTCATCAGTGCTTTCACATTACCTCTGGGATAAAGTTTGAATTCCTAGAATGTTCTGTCCTGCTTTTCCATCACCAGGTTTCTCTGCCTTATGTGCCAGTCTTCAATATAAATCTATGTTCTGGAAATCTTTGCTTCATCTCTTAGGCTTGGTTAGACTCCCCCAATATCCCTTCACACGGGGTCCTTACCTTTCACTTTGCAGGATTTATCTGAAATAACATAAATATGTGACTAATTATTTGTTCCAGGTCCGTCTATTCTATTTTTAGATGACAGGGGCCTTTCTACCTTATTAACCATTTGATCCCCAGAGACCACTACAGGGTCTGAAATCCAAAGCATATTCAATCCTCACTGCATCCATGAATGACATCACCCAATTCTAACCTCAAATCTTGGCTCCTCTGATGGACTGTAAGTACAATTTCCCACTTCAGTAAGATGAAGAGAATACCGTCTACCTCACAGGGACAATGTGAAAATGAAATGCTATGATGTCCACCACAGTGTCTGGCACAAAGCAAGCATTTGTGAAACAGTATTACTACCACTGTTACCACCTACAGTGGAAGAGAGAAGGGCACTGTCAGGTTCAGGCAGGCAAAATGGCAGGCTGCAGAGACCTTCTCAGAGCAGTACAACACTGATTTCCTCATCTGGGCTTCAGCCTAACAGTCTCCAAGGTCCAGAGACTTTACCAAGCCCTTGCTGAGAACTGACTATAGTCAGGGAATCTCAGGATAGCTAAACTCGCCCAACAATAGAGTTCATAGACACAGTGTTTGTTGACTACGAGAAAGAAAACTTTCTAATAGTATATGATTCCACTTATATGAACTATGAACAATAAGCAAACCCACAGAGACAGAAAGTAGAATTGTGGTTACCATGGATTAGGGGCTGGGAAAATAAGAAGTGACTGATAATAAGTAAGAGATTTTTGGGTGCATAATGAAAATGTTCTAAAATTAGATCCTGGTGATGATGACTCAACATAGTGAATATACCAAGAGCTATGAATTGTATACTTGAAATGGTAAAATTTTTGTTACATAAATTGTATTACAGTTTTAAAAACACAACTCTCTAGTGACCATGCTCTACTGTCTCTCTCTCATGCCAAATTCTACCAAGGCCAAATTTGTCAATGTTTGCTCAGCAAATACAGAATCAGAGTAGAGGGTTACAGAATGAATTCTGAATGGAGTCAGGTTCTGATGGACTCTATGTCCATCTACTGCCAAGAAGATAGGCATTTCTACTGGTGTAGACTGCATTTAGTAGGTGTGGCAGATATTATTAGCTGCCTATTCATATCCATAACTCCCATTGCCTTTTATGAAAACACAGTTTTGTTCTAAGGGACAATGTACCCCAATCCCAGGCATGTCATGACTAGTCTAATCCAGTGTTCCAAAATTTTGCTGATAATAGAATCACTTGGATTCCTTGTTTAAATAATAAAAGAGAAATAAAATAAAAAGATTTAGATTCCATACCCAACAAATCCCAATTCCCAGAGATGAGTCCTGCCAATCTCTCTATATAACAAGGCTCCAAGTAACTCTACTAACCATTAGGGAAGTTTGAGAAATAATGGTCTAAGCCATTGCTGGCAACTGTTCTTATACCTGGCTTTCCAAGTATTCCTTGCAGCTAGATGACCATGTGTTCACTTCTGGTCAACAAGAGTTAAAATAAAGTCTATTAAGGAGATTTCTGGAAAAGTTATACTTAGTAATAAAAAGAGAAGGACATCTGCCCTTATCTCTTCAGCCCCTCTTCTTGTTTGGAATGGAGCTATTATGATTGGAGCCACAGTAATAACCCAAGAGAAAGACCTATGGATTTGCAGGGACATAAATTGTACTATTGTTGAAATAATGCCAGCCACTGTCTGCCTGGAATCTCTTGTTAGATGACCAAAATAAACTCTGGGTTGTTTAAAACTGTCATCAGGTGTTTGTCCCATTCCTAAACATATAACAGACACTTTCAACATTTACCTTTGTGATATACTTTAGTCTCCGTGCTCCATTTATAAGGGCCTTGCCCCTTCTGGGTGAGAGATTCCTTCCTGAGATAGGGTTGGTCAAGACCTGCATAAATGGCCATCTGTCCATCTAACAGGATCATGACCAATTCCTTTTTCCATAACTATTTGATTTATCATTTATATTTTTCACTTATATTTCCAAGTTCTTGGGGGATATCTCACAGATGTCCCTTGTGATAATGACATTTTACAAGATAGATTTTATTTTCCTGAATGGAATTCTGTCAGAAGAACAATAACAAGGGTTAGAAAATTTTCTCTGCAAGAAGCTAGAGAGTAAATATTTTTGGCTTTATGGGCCTTATGTTCTCTGCTGCAACTATTTGGGCTCTGTCCTTATAACCCTCAAAATATCCATAGACAATATATAAATGAAAATGTATGGGCTAGGGATATAGTTCAGTGGTACAGTGCTTGCCTAGCTTGTGAAAGGTCCTGGTTTCCATCTCTAGCACTGAAAAAAAAAACAACTTTAGCAGTTACATTTTCAGTCTCTGACATGCTGTCTTTTCTAAAAATGGCCACAGTGGCATTCCAGTCCCACATGATGTTCTAGAACTCTACCAGGTCCTCAACAAGAGTCAGAGTTTACTTCTCTCTCCTTTCTTTCTACCTCAGAAGGACTTTGACTGTTTCAGCAAAGAGAAGGCAACAAAAGTGATATGCCCTGAATAACCAAGGCTAGATCACAGAAGAAGATATGGCTTCTACCTTGTCATCTTACTATAAGGACACTCATCCAAGGGAAGCAGCTACCATATGGTGAGAAAACTTAAACTCTCCCACACAGAAAAATCAAATGGAGAAGATCTTCAGCCCCTAACAACAGCCATCATTAAGACATATAAACAACAAGACATGCAAATGAATGGGCCTTCAATAAGGCATCGCCCATCTTTCAGCTGATTCACAGTGGAGTGTTGTTCAGCTTTCCCTTTTGAGCCCTGTCCAAAATTCAGTTTCATTAGAAAAAAATGCTACCATTTAAACTCACTGTTCTGAGTGACTGGAACACAGACTCAGGATAGAATGCATGTATGAAACAAAACAAACTGTATGTTTTGCTTTCTACTTTGAGCCACCAATATAACATAAAAACAATAGAATATATATACATACTTCTTCCAACAGTGACATTCTGTTGCAAGACACTTATATACAGCTGCAGTGTCAGTTGGGGGGCAGAGCCCAGGAAAGCCTGGATCACTGATGCCCGGCTGAATGCAGAGCGGTGGGTGAATAGCTTGCCTTCTGCCTGGCCCACCTCCTTTTCAATCTCCTCTGAGAGACCATTTTTTGGCATTTGCCGCTTCTTGGTGATGCTGACATAAGGCTCTTCATTGTGGCTTGACTGACAGTAGATGCAAAAGACTTCAAAACACCTGGAAACAAATCAGTGAGTCATAATAATTAGAGACAGGCAGGAGTCTGTCTTTACTCAGTTATTCTGCTACTACTTAGGCTGGATATTCTGGACTATCATCACCCTTCTAAATGCACTCCCAGTACCAATTCTAAGCACTCAGTCCTCTTCAGGTCCTCCAGCAGATCAATGGAACTGAGTGAGAATCAAATAGGCAAGAAAACCTATGAGAGAATGGGAAGTGGTTCAGGACTCAGAGCCACAAAAAAAGTTCAATTTCCCTTGTTGACACATACTAGCTGTGCAGCCCTAAGCCAGTCACTTACCTTCTGAGCCCTTTCCTTCAATTATAAAGCAGAGAAGATAGCTACTTTTGCCACATTGCTGTGGAAGACAGCAATAATATAGCGTGTGTGTGTGTGTGTGTGGTTTGTATAAATGTTCCATATACAGTAAAAGCCCCAAACCACCCTAGTTAAAGTAGAAGATATAATTGGGCAATTGTCAAGTACAGGGCAGCTTGCCATGTAGGATTTCACTGGACAACCATAACATATCACCCACTACTTGGTCTTCACAAGCCCTTACAGGGCAGGCAGGCCTAAAGTCAATCTTGCTCAGGGGTCTGCCAGATAAGTCTTACTTATAGAATTCTAAGCCTGTTCTAGGGATGGCACCTTAACTACTGGCCTCTCCAGAATGAAAGAATAGCTGATTTTTAAACTGGGATTTCCTCTCTAGATAATGATATGGATACACACGCTGATACCTGTGATCTACTTTGAAGAATGTACACATACACGCACAGACTTATGGATAGAGGGATGGGTAGAACTGGGAAACAAAATGTTAATTGCAGAATATAGGTGGTAGGTACTTGGGCGGTCACAACAGAATTCTTTCAATTTTTCTTCTGTATACTTGAAATTTTTCATAATAAAAGGCTGGGAAAATAGGCTTCTCTAGAAGAAAGAAAAATGCTCATAGCCTCAGGTTTAAAAATTGTTGAAGGACTTTTTTTCTGAAACATGCACTTTCACAGCAACCTTATTAATGCTACTAGAAGATTTTATGGCTTTATTGACTTTATTGAATGTTAACTTTATACTCTTGCTCTAAGGCAACTATGGCAACAAGGACACATTTATAATTTGGCATAATAAAACCTTGATGCAAGAAAGGAAATGCAGGAACCTTTACATAGTGGACATATTTTGTGATTAGCTTTGTTCACTTGTTCCCGGAAGAAAGAAGGTATGTAGGGATGCGTGTGTGTGTGTGTGTGTGTGTGTGCGCGCGTGCGTGAGAGAGAGAGAGAGGAATTTGTTTACTACCTTTTGCCCAGTAGAGTCAAGGACAATTCAATATATTACATGAAGACACGTAAAACAGCATGGACAAGTTTGTTCAGATGAAAATAATGCTAATCAAGTGGTTCAGGTCACAAGTTCAACCCCAGCTGGTCCAAAACCCAAATCTGTGACTGAGTACTGAATGAAGCCTAGCTCCTTTACACTGTTGGACTACTGAAAACAATAAGGACTAGAAGGTAAAATAAACAAACTTATTGTCACCTTTATTCTCAAATATGTGATGAATGCTGATGAACGTACTAAGTGTTCTGGGGAATGCAAAGTCAGCTGGATACTGCTCATTCAGAAATGCTCACTATCTAAATGGGGTAATGGAACATATACCGAATAAGGATAGTATGTTACAAAACAGCTGATATTTATATAGCACTTTTAGTTTGTAAAATATTTTCCCATAGATTATCTCACAAAAAATCCCTATGCAAGAATTTGGATCATAGCGATATTTGTAATAGCAAAACTGTGACCATACTCAAATGGCCCTCAAAATGAAAGAATTAAATAAATCATAATATATCTATGCAATGAAATATTGTATACTTTTTAAAACTGGCAGTTTAGAAACATATCAATTGATATAAAACAATTATTGGGATGGGGATATAGAGGAGCACCTGCTTAGCAAGCATGAGACCCTGGGTTCAATCCCAAGAACCAAAGTAAATAAGTAAAATAAAATTAAAAAAAACATTTTTACCACATTTGGTAAGTTAAAGAAGCAAATTACAATAGAATACATAGAGAAAATTACATTTTTTGTAAAAAGAATAACAAACACACATAAATAAATTACACGCTCTTGTACAATTAAACGGTGAAATAACTGAGCTGGCTCATACTGACTCTAAAAATTAGATTGTTAATAGGGATTTTGTAAGCTAGTTGTTAATAGCCAGTAGCTTGATCAGACTTGACAGGAATAAATACATATGGAAATCAGCAAACACTGAAAATCAGAGCTCATTTTTTTCTAACAGAGAATTTATAAGACTATCACCACAAAAAAGTTAAGAATTGTCCTCTTTGGATAGTAGAATTAAAGGTTTTATTTTCTTCACTGTGCATATGTTTTCCTCTTTTCTGTCATTTCAAAAACAAATATGTTTTACTTCCATAATAAAATCAAGGTTATAGAGTTTTTAAAGACCAAAACAAACAAACACATAAACGAATGAAACACCAGGGCATGCTAAGAGATGAATGAATGAAATGAGGGTTCAGAGAAAAACAAAATTCTGTTGATGCTGAGGAGAGACCTGTGTGAAATAGGAATCATTTGTACAATTGTTAACAAAATGAAACTTTAGTGATTAATCAATAGAAATGAAAAAAGGTTCCAGAATGAACTAATGTCAAAGGTAGCTCTAAAGGCCAGGTGGAGCCTCTCAGAATCCACTGCTTTTCCCAGTTAATGCATTTGACTTAGTAGGTGTTTAATAAATCTGTGAACAGCCCCAAGACCTCTCACCACTACTGGCTAAGAAAATTAGAAGAAACAGATCACTACTGTTTCTTTGGAATTTGGCAAGACTTACCTAATTACTTCAATTCTGTTTAGGGGGGTCATTTCATTGTAGCTTTGCTTGAGAGGTTGTCTAAATAAAGCTAGAGATTAGAAACTTTGACCAAAATCATTCAAGGTATGGGCTAGGGACGTGACTCAGCAGTAGAGGGCCTGCTTAGTATGTGTAAGGCTCCATCTCCAGCACCAAAAAAAATCAGTTTAGATAGTTTTTTAGTAACATGTAGACCAGAGGTCAGGAAACTTTTTCTGTAAAGTATTACAGAGAATAAACACTTTAGACTTTACAGGCCATGGTCTGTAAAGGTGAGGTCTGCTCAATTCTCTGCCTCTGTAGCGCTAAAAGAGCTATAGACAATCTATAAACACATGGCCATGCTAATGTTCAAATAACACACTTACATAAACAGAAGGTGGGGGTATTTGGCCAATGAGGCACAGTTCACTGACCCCTGATGTAGCCGATTGGTAATTTGATCCTTTTTTTTTCACTTTATCCCATTTTCAAACAACATATATTCCATTTGTCAAGAATAATAACCAGTTTATTCCTTAGCTGAAACCATGTATATTGGTGCCAGCACAAATAACTATGGTACAAAGGACCCTAATAAAAATACTTTTTCCAAAGAAATACTATGATTTCTTGTAAGCCATATTATCTTCATATGACACACATGCTCTGAGAGGCTACACTAGAATCAAACTGGTTAAATGGAAAACGTGTGAGGCCTTTGAAGAGTCACTTGCTTAATCTCTCTGAGTCTCAATTCCTGGACTGTAAAAATAAGATAATGACAGCTCACAGGGTTTTAGAGGATGGAATTAAACGCTATCTGTAAAAGCTCCTTGCCAATAAAATGAACTTCAAATGTAGACTGTTACTTTAAATTCTTTAGGAAGTTCACTATAGAAAGAAATACTATGGTAAATCATTTTACAACGTTCTATAAAGACTTTTAGAACTTCTTAACCTGTATCTTATAAGCCCAGATTTTTTCATGTACCATTTTTTCCTCATTATACCAATAATAAAAATGGGGGGAATCCCTTGAACTTGTAACTCATTTATTTTTTACTCTTCTCGATTTGTGAAAATTAACATAGCTAAAACAACAATAAGTAAAAGATTTTAAACTGTTTTGTAAGAGATGCCCCCTCTGTTTTTCCAGAATATCTATTATAATTCACAACAATATTTTCCTTTAAATTAAAAAAAAATGCCATTCAAATCCAGCCTTAGTGTAAAAACGACTATACAAACTTCAGCTACAGACTTAAATATAAGACTAAAATATAAGATATAAATGAAATAAAGTGCTTTTTCAATGCCTCCCTAAAGAAAAAAAAGGAGCAGAACCGAGTTAATAGTATTCAGTCCATAATCATTAGTGTAATATACTACAGGGGGTTATTTTGCTTTTTTTTTTCCTGTGGTGCTTGGGATCAAATCCAGGATCTAGAGTATGTTGGGCAAACAAACGCTCTACCACTGAGCTGTACCCCCAGCCTTATAATGTAGTTTAACCAGACCATCACCTTGCATGAACTCAAAAACACCTAAATGGAATAGGAGTTTGGCTAACACTTACCCAAAGTTAAATAGAGCTACATTGTCCCCAAAGCAATTTAGAAATATTACTAAGTTCACTGATAAGGGGTAAAGGGGAGAAACACCATAACTATCCGTGGTTTGGGAAGTAACTTTGATCTTTATGTAAAGCTGATGTCTTAGAGTTCACATAGACTCAGTCAGCAGGAAGAAATTCCACTAAGATATTAAGACATGCTCATATACAACAACAAATTGCTTTTCTTTTCATCTGGAAGCTAAAAGACTTGGAACCACATTTTGTGTATCTCAGCTCTGAGATCATGGGTCCAATTATCTCCTTGAAATAAATCAGCTACTTTAGAATGACAGACTCCTTGATGGTAAAAGAGGGTTGTCTGCTATTTTGGTTTTTTAATCATTTATTTTGTTTTTCCCTAAAAAGGCAATCACCCATTCAGAACTTTTGTAAATAGACCTTTGTAATAATAGTGAATTTTTCTATGTGGCTGAGAAATTATCTCTTTAAAGCACCAAACTTTTCTTTCCTTAATGTAGTTATTTTTGCTATAAAACTAAAAAATGTAGAAAAACATATAATAAAGGAGAAAATTATATACTTTCGTGTTTTTCAGGAGAATATTAAAATCACACTCCACCACCCAGAAATTATTGCTGTTAACATCTTAGTATAAAGTTCAGGTTTATGCTTGCCAACCTGTTTTTATGCATAATATTATATCATCAGCTTTCTCTTGGGTTACTCAATATTTAGAAAGATTTTAAATAACAGCGATGAAGGGTATGCTCACTTACTTGGATGGTGATTAGGTTGTATTTACTTTTTAAAATTTGGCCAAAATGATCAAACTTTTTCAAATTTAAGGCAGAACTACTGGTAAAATGAACTCCACACTTCACTTTTTCCTCACAGCACACAGGGAATATAAATAATCAAGCTCCATTTTTCTTAAAGAAGCTTTGGGAACACATTCTGGTGCCTCATTTTTCCCATCTATAAATGGGGACAGGGGTTAAGGGTGTATCTCAGTGGTAGAGCGCTGGTTTAGCATGCACGAGGCCCTAGTTTCAACTCCCAGCACCAAAACCAAACACAGATAAGTAAATAAATACCTTGAGGACATTACACCTACTTCATGATAAGGAATCAAGGAACTGAAGCAAACTACCTAACACAAGCACCTTTTAAGAAATGTCAATTCACCATGTCACACAACTTTCTTTTCACAGAGGTTATGAAATGATGAATGCCTTACCCAAAGTCAGATCACATTTATTTTACTGAGCAGCAACACTATCAGGACCATAGAGCCTTCTTGGCTAGATGGACTCTCTCCTTTCTGATGGTTCCAGGTTGAAGGACTTTGTACGTTCGCTTTCTCACTTTCTTCTTTCTGATTTTTTCCTCTATCAGGACATAGGTAGAAACTTCTCACTTCTGCCAGCATACCTGTTTATCTTCCCTTCTAGGATTCCTTGGCTACTGAACGATGGGAAACTTGTTCACCAAGTTTGCCATGACTGTGTGTAAAATACAAGTCAGTATTCTGAGTGTCAGCTGGAATGCATGTCTTTAATGTGAGGTGCAAAAGTGTATGTGTGTGTGTGTGTGTGTGCGTGTGAGAGAGAGAGAGAGAGAGAAAGAGAGAGAGAGAGAGAGAGACTGATTGATTTCATGGTAGGACAGGTTCTTGGTTAGCTAAACATTCTGGCAGCTGAGGTGGGTGTCTGTTCTATCTCTTCAAATTCTTCTGTCACCTATGTCTAAAAAAATCAGTATTATAAATATATTTCTAATCCAGAGAGATACCCTGTGTTTTTTTCCTACAGAGATTAAATATAGAGAACAATACATTTTAAACTTTCTTCAGTGTCCTTACATAAAGCAAAGTGTATTTTACTATCATATATTTCTACTTGGTTTGCGGTCATAAAAATTAATTTCCAGAAATGTCATCAACAGTTTTTTTTAAACACATGGCAAGTTTTTGTCTTCATGGCCTAATGTGTATCAGCTTTCATGACTGTGTTTGTGAGGCAGGACCAGAAGACATTTCTACTATCCCATATGTTTTCCACACTCCATAACATTCACAATATTTATTTCACAACACCAAGAGAAAGGAATAGTGTGTGGATTTCTAGACTTCTGTATGAGACTTAAATTAATTTTTGGAAAGTGCCTTGCACACAGTAAGCTCCATGTATTTGACAAATGAAATGAAATGCCCTGTACATGCATTAGCTCTTACCATGTCTTAGAACAACTTCCCATGGATTTGTGACCACACAAGCCAATTCTGCAGGAGCCCACTTGACCACAGAGAAAACCATGTATTTTATGAGATCCAACATCTGCCACTTTTGTTGGTGAAATTCAGGTAAATACTGGCAATTACATATGATGGATCCTGACAGGAATGCAGGATGCCCTAGCTTTAGTATTCTTATGCTAGGTTCCTGTCACATTCCTATGACTGGAGCCGTGCTGTGGGGACACAGGGCGGGCCCGCCTTGGGCCCAGCCCTGAAGTCCAGCCACCTGCCCCTACTGGAAAGCGTTCCCCACTTTCTCGGGCCGGTTGGGGAGCCAGCCGGGAGCTGCGGCCTAGGGCTGGCTCCAGGCTTCCGCACGCACCTGAAGAGAGGCCCGAGTTGGAGCAGGTGCAGCAGCAGGACCAGCGGGCGATCGCGGCTGAGGTCGCGGTGCACGAAGAGGAGCGTGAGCTGCACCAGTGCGCAGGGCATCAGCGAGAAAAGCAGCGTCAGCGCCTGCCAAATGCCGTCCCCGCCCGAGCGATAGGTGCTGCTCAGGTAGAGCGCCGCCGTCGTCTCGGCCACGAACAGGAACACGGACGCCAGCACCGAGGCCGGGAATTTCATCTCCGCGCGTCACCGGCTTTCGCCGGGGGGCGGACGGTGGCAGTGACAGTGGCGGCGGCTGCGGTTGTCTGAGGGGCTCCCGGCATGCCCGGCCCGGACCTTATCCCGCGCTCTGCGCAGCCCGCCGAGGGCACGCGGGCCCGGCCGACCGGCCCGGGCGTTGGACTGGGCCTGGGGGCAACGGACCCAGCTGGGGTGGGGCGGGCAGCGTGGCCCTGCTGGGACACGCCCACGCGCACAGTGCGCCGCCCGCGCGCCAGAATGCCCGCGGCGTCTGAATGGCGACAGTCCCCAGGCGGGCCGCGAACCCACGCCTGGGGACAGCTCGCACAGAGCCGTGCGGGGCGCGCTCAAAAGGAGACTGCTGGCCCTGCTGGGCCACACGCAGCCTCTGGGTCCTAGAGTCCCTAGGCCATTACTTTCTTTAGAAACCATTCACATCCCATTGCAAAACTGCAACCAACAGGGCTTAGAATTGGGGTCGGGGTGCCTTTCCAGCCCAGTCTTTATTTTCTGGGCCGAGGAAACACCACATACTACCAAAGGTCAGAGTTTTCTGTCATTTAAAAATGCTCCAGGCCACACAGATGCTTTTCAAAGTGCAAGTGTGTTGTTATGTATCCACCATCACAATGGGGGAACACTTTAACTTCTCACTGTCTTGTGAGCCTACCCCTTTATCTTTCAAATGCAGTGGTCTGAAGCATTGCTTCCCATGGAAGGAAGAATATGGGAGATAAATCTCTAGGAGCTAACACCTTCCCCTCCCAGAAAAACTGCCTGCAAAATTTATTCCTCTGTATAACTAACTCAGATAGGTCAAAGACCAGGGCCTTATAAGGAAGCAGTTTTCTAGCCCTAGGCATACCTCGGTTTGCTAGTGTGCCAACTCCAATACTAAAACAATCCCCCGCCCCCCCACCCCGCCCCACCCGTGAATCTTTGACCACCTTCTGCACATTAGGATGGACTCAACCCACCCCTTCCTTCACACCTTGATCAAGCCACTAGATCTCTCTAAAACCCAGTTTTCAACCTGTCTGTACAGGAATTAAGACTTTTATAATAATAAAATCCTTTTGCCTGCTGAAATTGGGTAATTAGGCATCTCTGGCATTTTTCTACTTAGGAAAATAATATAAATACAAGTAGAGTGTGAAGTTCCTGAAGGGATCAAGACAAGAATGAAGAATGTAGAGGAAGAGAAAAAGATAGGATGTTTTTCTTGGTTCTCACATGACATGGGAAAATCTATTAATAAGGGTTGAGGGGAGAATTCAGCCAACAGCTGAGAGGTACCAGGCCTTTTCTCCAAAAGGATTACTAAGGTCTATTTATAGAAACCAGCAGGTCACCATGTCCTGGATCAAGATACACAGTCACAAACACAGAATCAGCAGCAGCACTCCACAGAGTATTTGTATAATATTTTATTTGACACTGTGGTTAACTTTAAAAGGAAAATTAACTAGTAGCTTAAAACTATTAAGTGGAACACAGTAATTATTTAGCATTATATTTTATTTTAAGGCAAAGGATTGTCACAGGTTTTACATTTGTAAGTGGACCGTGTTGTGGAGCGGGGAGGCTATAAGCCAATAAATAACATCACTTTAAACACTATAAAGTCCAGTTTATGGCAAATTATTTTCTACAGTACAAAACTACTACAGAAAACACATTGGAAATATCACAGTGTTTAGAATATTGTAACAGAAGTTTTAAAAACAATACATCTGTAAGCTTCTGACTCAATCTTGTTTCTGAAATGATTTCATTATACCATTCAGTAGGCTGTGAGAAATACCCCTCCAGGAAGGAGAAGCAACATCAACTGACTGTGTCGTTCTCCCTCCAGGAATGACCAATAACATAAAGCTAAAATCTGGTGAGCATTTGTAAATTGATGCTTCTTGGTCCGTCTGCACACAGACTAACTTACCCTGTGATCCTGTCTTTCTGCATTATCATTTGCTTTTTTATCATTAAAAGTAATGTATACATTACAGATGATTGCTAGTTTCCCTGTTAAACATCTAAGCAGATTTTCACTACAGACCAATTTGATGTCATATATTTCACTATACTTTCTTACTAGGACCCAAATACCAATTATTTAAAAAAATATTATGTACACAATAATAGACTTATAGAAAGTGATGTTTTGTTATAATAATATGTAATATACCAGGATATGTGCTAATTTGGTTTTATTAAAAATACAGTAGTATGATATTTTGTAATCTAATAAAATACCTGGCAGAATGCTCTGCTCTAAATTTAGAACTAATTGCTACCAGTATGTCCTTGAAAGTGCCTTGAAGAACCCCTAAGGGAATATGATATTATCAAGAGGTCAAAGAACTTGTTTTGGCAAAAAGAGATTTTTTTTAAAAGCCTCTCATTTTGTGTGCAAGTCTTTCAAAATTTTTGTTATATAGAATAGATAACTGTTGTTGAATGTAATGTAAATGAAAATTGAAAGGATTAAAAAGTTGTAATGACTAATTTATCTTATTGGGTGTATTTTTAATAATTTAATATTTTAACTACATTTGTGCTAAGACAAATATATTGCAGAGTACAGTTTTCCTAATAGTAATTCATTAAGCAGTTCTTCATAATTCAATAGTACTTCAAGATACAATAGTAGTTCTAGATACAATCAAGAATACGCAGTTGTACTACATTAACAGATTGTTCTTTTGTAAACCCCAAATAATTAAGGAATTGTACTAATTTGCTGCTTGTGAAATGTATCATTCAGAAGATGAATTTTTTCTCCAATGATACAATCATATTTCTGTAAGTATTGTGAATTGTGCAATAAAATCTGGTAAAGTAAATTCTATTCACTTGGGATATGTACCTCTAATAATACATGATGCATGACTATTCCCCACTTGTATATGGCTTTGCAATATATTTTTGCTAATAATTGGATTGTACAAAATCCACTCTTAATATTTTATTAGTTTAGCGCCATTAAATCAAAGAGATTAAAATTCAAATTTCCCTTCTAAGCAGAGCTCCCCTAGATGTTCAAAGCTGGGAAATCTGTTGCCTTGTTAGAGAATGGGCTGCCCTTTCTTATCAAATTCTAAAAACCAAACTTTTTCATTTAGAATATTCTACTCCTACACCTGAAGAGTCTATGTAAAACACATGTTGTACTACATTTTCAAGAGCAAAGCAATTCTATTGCTGTTACAGTCTTCAGAAGACATCTCTAATATTGAAGAACTAAAGACCTACAAAACTGAGACACAACTGATCACTTAAATAAATCTGCTTATTTGAACACATCCACATATAAGGGTTACTACACTCAACTTGAACTGAGTTCAGTGCAGAATTTATTTTATTGGTAATCACCACTTAAGCACAGATCTGAAGACAAAATTTATGGGGACAGTGTCAGAAGCCCCACTAAAACCATATTGCAAAAAGGCCATTTGCTAAAGACTGACAGTAGACAAGTATAGTGTATGTCTTCTTTAAACCGATTGCTATGCCACAGCTATTTCACACACAATACAAGAAGAGTACACATTGAAACATACATCACACACAGATTATAAAAAGACTCAGTAGAACTGTATAACTCTACATGTATGAATTCTATGTTTACACATATACACATTAAGATATTTCTTCTTACCTATTTTTAGAATGTTCATCATTTCTGAAAGAGTAAGAAAAAGGTGTGTACTTGGGTACTTTCTGAAGATCTATGTCTATGTGTAAGACCTTAAAGCCATCTGCTGGTGTCAATTTAGTAAGTGGTTGTTCTAGAACAAAAGAGATATCCTGAATTTTGGGTGATTCTAAACACAAAAATAAGTAGAGATGGGCTCCAAAAACAGTGGAGGAGAGGAAAACACAAAGAGTTTCTTATGTAAAGACACTTGTGGAAAATTCTAGAATTCTTATAGAATCAAAGTCAAACAGGGTTCTTTA